GGACCTTCTGGCTCTGCAACTCCCTGACAAGAGGGGGGAGTTAGGGGGGGGTCAGGCTCTGCTCCCAGAGAACAAGGGACAGGACAAGAGCAAACAGCCTCAAGCTGTGCCAGGGGAGGTTCAGGTTGGACATCAGGAAGAATTTCTTCGTGTAAAGGGTTGTCAGGCTTTGGAAAGGGCTGCCCAGGGAGGTGGTGGAGTCCCCACCCCTGGAGGTGTCCAAGGAACGACTGGACATGGCACTCAGTGCTCTGGGCTGGGGGACAAGGTGGGGATCAATCACAGGTTGGACTAGAGGATCTTGGAGGTCTTTTCCATCCTAAGTGATTCAGTTATGCACTGGGATTCTGTGCTTGCTGGCTTAGGAGGTAGGTCTTATTAAAAACAGTGTTACTGTAAACATAGCTCAATCCATTTATCCTGGAAATTTTGCCTTGTCAAACTTCTGCTGCAACTCCCCTTTCAAATGTCACCTGTATGTGGATGTGTGTGGACACATCCTGTTTTTCCCCATGTTCAACAAGCCTTTTTGCAGGCTTCTCTGCCAGAAGTCAAATAGTTTCAGTTACTCCATATACCTGCAGGAACACTACAACATATTCCTACAAGAAAAGTACCTGATTTTGGTAAGTGCCCACACAAACATTCCTGGAATCTCAAGTGCAGCCTTACTTTCGTTCCACTGGAACAGCTCTCCTGAAAGCAGATATATGAGGAAATCCACTCGTAATGCATCACTAATGACACCAATTTTTGCATTCCTGCTCATGTGAGCAAAGGTTATGGATGCAGAAGGAGTCAGACCTGGAAAACCTTCCTCACAAACCCTGATAAACCCCACTTCAGGCAGCAAGTTTAACGATGCTCGGAAGAGAGCCAGATCACTTATCTCCACCATCGTGCAATAACTGTAAAGTGTGGAGATAAGTGGGTTTATATCTCCCAGTTCTCTGCTGGCCTTCCCTGGGTATCAGTTTATGGCAGTAAAAGTGGCTGTGAAATATTACTGCCCTGATTTGGTGGTGTTTTATAGTCCCTTCAGTTCACATTCAGGCTGCATGGACAGAGTGGATGCTCTTATCTCTCAGTGCATTTATGAATGGAAAAACAGGGAATTATCTCAGTCATACTCACCACATTTGGCTGCAATAGCTGTGGTTTAGCTCTCTTTCAAGAACAGGTTGTAGGCCAGATGTTGGTGAGGATTGTACTCCATCCTGACCGGCTCAGCTTTTCCCATCCAGAGGGGGGTGTTTGGTTACCTGCAGTGTGAACAAGGTTTTAAAATAAATTAATGACCTGAGGGAGCTGGGGGGGTTCAACCTGGAGAAAAGGAGGCTCAGGAGGGAGCTTTTTGCTCTCCACAACTCCCTGACAGGAGGGGGCAGCCAGAGGGGGTCAGGCTCTGCTCCCAGAGAACAAGGGACAGGACAAGAGCAAACAACCTCAAGCTGTGCCAGGAGAGGTTCAGGTTGGACATCAGGAGGAATTTCTTCGTGGAAAGGGTTGTCAGGCATTGGAAGGGGCTGCCCAGGGAGGTGGTGGAGTCCCCATCCCTGGAGGTGTCCAAGGAATGACTGGATGTGGCACTCAGTGCTCTGGGCTGGGGGACAAGGTGGGGATCAGTCACAGTTTGAACCTGATGATCTTGGAGGTCTTTTCCAACCTTAATGATCCTGTGATTCTTTGAAAATCTGGGACATTTCCAAGAGTCATTTATTACTTTTGCCAAGCAAAAGCCACACAGGCTTTTTTTTGGGTGCTTTGCTATGTATGTGAACAAGCCTTAATTTCAGCTGCCTGTTTGGCTTGTTTATTTTGCAAATCACAGACAATTTAGCAAATTATATATTTTCAACTTGTTGCATTTGTTGCTTTTTCAGAGTCACTTCTCTTTGTGCCATACAAAACATCCACTCCATAGCTATACTTTGCTTTTCGTTGTATATTTACTTTCTAGATACAAGACTTTTAATAACTCCTCACCTGCAACCAGCGCTGAGCAGCTCTTCATTTCATGTCTGCAGAAGCCTTGTAAGATGTAACCTGTGATGTTGTTTTTGCCATCTGATAACTTGTGATCAAATGGAGCCTGTTTAAATAACAACATCTGGGACACAATGACAGTGAAGCAGCTACGAAACAAACATTTCTGAAGATCAGATAAGATGGAAGAGATGCCTCAGTGCTGGATTGCTCCCTGGATCATGAGCCCTATGCTGGAGAGGGATTCCAGGCATGGGATTTCCTTTGTGCCACGGGCTAAGGGATTGTGCTGGATTATTTTTTATGTTGGTTTATGTCTTGTAGAGACGTGCTTTTGTAATGCACTGAGTATGGAGGTAGTAAACTCAATCTGCAGTGAGTTGCACAGGAGTAGGTTAAATAAGGAATTCAAGTCAACTGAAAATTGTCTTGTTTTGTATTCTCTTGCTGCCTTTCATCCTTCCACCTCTAAACCTACAGTATCTTTTACATAAGGGCTGCTTAACTTCCACCCAAGTCTAAACTTTTACAGTTAATTTTCAAAGCACCACATTTCAGTATTTTTCTTCTTAGTGTGCAAAAATCAGCTTTATATTTAAAGCCATTATTCCTGACTCTCACTCCTGCTTCTCTTTGTTCATTTGCAGGAGGATATTACTGATCCTGAGTCTCAGGAAGACAGGGAGAAGAAGGACTGGCTCTCTGACCCTGCAGATGGTTCCAATACAGTGAAGAGCGTTCTCACTGTGCAGGAATATTTTGCCAAGCGCATGGCAAAGCTGAAGGGATCTCAGAAGGAACCAGAAACAAAGGTGGATAATTCCAGCCCAACGGCTGATGAAGCTTTGGATCTTGTGGAAGAGCTGGAAACCAAAGTGAAGAAGAAAAAGAAGAAGCAGAAGAGAGATGAGGAGGCAGAAAGGACAGAGCATTGCGAGAAACAGCCTGAAACTGGTGGTTTGGATGGAGAGGAACTGGATACTCCATTAAATGAATGTCACAGAGGGAAAAAGAAGAGGAAACATAAAGAGCAGCATGAAGGAGAAAACACCAGTTGTGATGAAAATATGGGCTGTGGAGAAATTTATGTGGGAATAGCTGATGAGGAGGATCTCGGTGTAAGGGACCAGGAGGAAAAGCAGAAGAAACGCCATAAGAAGAAACACAAAAGGCAAAAGGAGGAGGTGGAGGAGTGTGTGGAAGGAGCCCCCAGGAAGAAAAAGAAGCACTGCAAGCACATTTGACCATTTCAGAGTCATGCTGGGGCTCTGAGGTGAATTAGAGGAGGACTCTGTGTAAGCTCAGCAGCAAACACGTCGTGTCCCAGGATAGAACACGGTGCTCCACCTCCAGCTGGGACCACGGCCTGGGTTCAAGTGTCTCTTCCAAAGGAGAACATGGTGATGGGCCAACATGAGCTTCAGTACCACATTAAGAAGGGATCCAGCACATGGTTCAGACTGTGAAAGGCAGGGAACTACTTTCTGCTGCTTCACACTGACTGTGTTTTTCCCAATCTAGGAAAAAATAACAAAAAAAAGTCACCAAACTACTGCCTTTTTTATTAAAGTTGTTTTCACTTGTGAGAGCCCAGCTCTGCTTCTGGAAACAGGAGGGGGTTTGTGTTTTTTCACTGATTTTTGCAAAGTGGTGTCTAATTTTTTCATTGATCTCCTTTTACAACTAAAATGAATGTTGTTTCTTCCCAAAATACTTACCCTGATTAAAGGTTTACAGCTGAGTTTCAGTACTAGAGGATGAAATAAAAATGCCTCCCTGTGTTTTCAGACCAGTTGTTTTACTGTTGTGAAACAGCTGTAACTTTGCACCAAGGCTAAAGGAACTGTGTATTAACCATATATTCTTATTTAGATGTGCATTAACCATATCATTTATTAACCATATCTAAATCTGTCATTCTCAGGCAATATTCATGGTCTCTTCAGTGATGCATCTGGCATTCAGAAAGTTGGATAGAGCAAGGTTTTTTTCTGAAATTAGGAGACCAGTAGATTTTCAAAGCAGTCAGATGCATTAGTATTGCCACTTCCACGTTGAAAACTTGCAGTTTAGATTTATAACCAAATTAGAGCTTGTTCCTAATTGTGAGCCTGGAAATAAGTAATGCTGGAACTTAGCACTGCCAGGAGAAGTTTTGTGTGAGATCTTGAACGGTCAGCATGAATTTTGATGTGTTAATATCTCTCAGTTAAGAGCTGTCAGGAGAGATGGGTGAGCTTGGAAGAGGTGGAATGGGAAGAAGGATTCACCATCCTGGTGTCCTGCTTTGATATTCCTTCGGCCACAGCAAATGGACAGCACATCCCTGAAAACCAGCCAGTTGTCTTGGCCTAATCCAGAATTCAAATCCATTAGCTGCTCGTTTCATTAAGGCCTGGCTGTGTCTCATCAGTGTAAATCTAAAACACCCCATTGGCTGCTCTGCTGAATAAAATGGGTACATTTTTATATTGTCTTAGCTCAGTGGAGTTGCTTAACAGGGTTTGAGAAACATTGTCAAGATGCAGATGTTAATATGAAAAAAATTTCCTTCAGCTGCCTTTATTGTCCAGTGGAAGGAACTTCATCTGCAGCACAGACCACATGGCTTTGGGTGTTTGAGTTGCAGCTGAACTCTTCCTTTTTTTAAGATCTCTTGGTTTCCAGTGCACCTTTTTTTTTTTTACCCTCAGGACATGCTCATTCATTGCTGCAAAATTACTGTAGTTTTACTTATTGTATGGGAGAACAAGATGCCTTTCTTTGTGTTTCATGTCACATGCCAGTGGTTTTTAACCCTTAAAGCATCTCCTTTTCAGGAGAAATACAATTAATATCCAATATAATCCTGCTTGTTCCTGGCTTCCTTAAATGAACTACCACTTAATGCCATCAGGTTGCATTGAAGTTGGGAGTAAACTCCATGATTGAGGTGAAAAAATAATCTTTATGTTACCTCTTTGAATTTTTATTTATTAGTAGAATGCAAAAGTCTGAGTGTTTTCAATTTTTTTTAACTCTTAAGCAGCTGAACTTCACAGTTTGAATTTTTGTTTATTAGAATCCAAAAGTCTAATTAATTTATTTTTTTTTTAACTCTTATGCAGCTGAACTTCACATCCTCTCTGGGATTTCAATTGCAAAAGGTGCTAGTCAAGGAATAAGGTTTCCTTCTCCAAATCCTGCTGGGCTTGTTTGTTTGTTCCCTCTATTAATCTTCCAGTTTCTGTGTGCTAATTCTTATGGGTGTTTGGCCACATTCCAGTACCAGTTACAGAAAGAGTAAAACCAGGAATAAATCTTTAAATTTATGGTGTCACTGCAGTTAAGTGCAGTATACCCAGGAATTTAAATCTGGCTCAGATGGAAGTATCAGCTACAAATGGAAGATTCTCTCTTTCTACAAGAAATACATGGCACTTTATCCCAGGAAATGTGGGATTGTAATGTGCCTCAAGCTCTGCGTGTGGTTGTAGGGGGAAAAAATCCTAATAAATAAATAAATAATCGTAAATCATAAATTGCTTGTATTTGACATAAGCAATTCGTTTAAGTGCCCTGCTCTGTGTTAGTGGTCAGCCCTCACTGTGTTATTCAAATGAAAGGCTCTTCTTACAAGATACTGCCCAGTGAAATTGGAACAACAGGAACACTTTTCAAAGTAATAAATTATATTTAATTTTTTTGTCTGTAGTGGGTTGTGAGTTCAGTTTTAACCAAACCCTGGTTTTGGCAAGAAGGTCTTTTTTAGAAAGCATAAGAAAAAGAATGACATCACTGCCCAAGTGGTGGAATTAGCAGAATGTGAGCACAAAAGGAACGACTTGGTTTCATTTCCGCGAAAATCGTACTTTTAAACTACAGGGTCTTTTGTTGCACATTTCTCCACTGTCCCTAATTTATCCGTTGTACTCCCACATTGCAGCACAAAATGATGTTCCTCCAAGTGGAATTACCTAGAAACTGAGCAAAATGGGGCTCTGCTTTCACGCCCAAGCGGAGGACGACGCACACGCAGCACAGATATTGAAACGTGTTCAGTTTTGGTAACCCCAGGCCACCAGTGACAGAGAAGAAGATTTTCCTTTTTGCACTGGCAACATTCCAACATGATGGATTCTCGTGAGTTATTCCATTCTTTGCAGGTTTAGGGGTTGTTCTTTGCTTTGATCCTCGGAATTCCCTGTGGGCTCCCCGGCCGCTGACGTGGTTTGCAAGTGAAATGTTAGAGCAGCAGTAGCAAAGGTGCTTGGAAATCCTGCAAGCAGTGAACTATCCTGGGAAGCAGAGGCCATGGAAAAGTAGTCCTGATACCAGCATTAGACCAAAGTCTGCATGAGCTTTATGGGCTTTAGGAGTTTTGATCTTCGTGTGTCTGAGTGTGGAGCTTCCCTTGGAGCCAAGGATGGGATTCCACACTGGTGCACTCTTGTGAGAACCCCCATCTGTGGAACAGGCACCATTCCTGGAATTTCCTTCCAAGATATTCTAGCTCCAGTGCTTTACACACAGCCAGTGTAAATCAGAATCATGGAATCCTTAAGGTTGGAAAAGCCCTCTGAGATCATCGAGTCCAACTGTTCCCCCAGCACTGCCAAGGCCACCACTGAGCCATGTCCCCAGGTGCCCTGTAGTAGCAACCAGGGTGAGTTTAAAACATAAAAGCAAGACACTTTTAAATATTTCAGAGCCACTTACCCTTGAGTTTAAGTGAATTTGAGTCCATTTGATGGTATTCAAGATGCTGCTGGAAGTTGTGAATTGAAGGGGCTGGAGCGTGTCCAGGGAAGGGCATGGAGCTGGGGATGGGGCACCAGGAGCAGCTGGGAGGCTCAACCTGGAGAAAAGGAGGCTCAGGGGGGACCTTCTCACTCTCTGCAACTCCCTGACAGGAGGGGAGAGTCGGGGGGGTGTCATGCTCTGCTCCCAGGGAACAAGGGACAGGACGAGAGGAAATGGCATCAAGCTGTGCCAGGGGAGGGTCAGGTTGGATATTGGGAACAGTTTCTTCACCAAAAGGGTTGTCCAGCCCTGGCACAGCTGCCCAGGGCAGGGGTGGAGTCCCCATCCCTGGAGGGATTTGAAAGCCATGTGGATGTGGCACTTGGGGACATGAGTCAGTGGTGGCCTTGACAGTGCTGGGGAATGGTTGTACTCGGTGATCTTTGAGGGCTTTTCCGACTTAAATGATTCTGTGACTGAAATGCATTTGGGAACAGCTCAGCATCACGTTCCTTGGTGCAATTCCCCTTTAAGCAGCCCTGGTTCTCACTGCCTTCACATCATCAGCTCAGCTACAAAAATGAGCCTCTTGCTCCAATGGAATGAACCGAGTTTGTCCTGTTTAAACACACGGGACTGGAGTTCTTGCAGGATCCACCTTCAAAAAGCACCATTTACGTCACGAAACCTCCAAACCTGCCAACACTAAGAGGAGGAAGGAAGCTCCAAGAAGAGAGGAAAACCACACAAAGTCTCTTGGAAGCACTGCCCAGCATCACGCCTAGCTGGAAAAAAAGATCTTGGAATTGTGTATCCTCGAGCAGCATAAGGTGGACATCCAAAGCCATCCTTTGCTTAATTCCTCATTCCTGGGCAGGAACCTCCAGGAAGGATCAGAGCTCAGAGAACTTGGGACAGCAACCAAGGCTTTTGTCTCTGTACCTGTCCCATCCAGGGATAAACCAACTTTTTCTTGGATCAGCAAATTTTTAGTGATGTGAGACTGGGAAATAGAGGAAAAATATACATTTTTGTGGTGGCAGAAGCGGGAATATTGTTACAAAAACAAATTGAAGCTCCATTTCTCAGCAAGTCAGAACTTAAAATTCGCTTCTGAGTCACTCAGAGTTTGGTTTTTTTTATTCATATCTTAATCCATTTTTATAAATTTTAAACTGTAAGAGGGAAACTCCTGACGGTTCCTTTTGACCTAAAGGCACTAACATATTTTTTAAACTTAAAGTTGCATTTTAAAAATAGAAATATTCAGCACCATGTGTGCTTCCTGAAAATTTTAGCATCTTTGAGGTTTTTGTCTGCATTTTTTTGTATAATGGGAAAGCTCTGGTTCTTTTTCCTAGAAAATAAATGGTGCAGGTAGCGATCCCTGGGGAAAACCTGGTGGAATCAGGGAGGATGGGCAGTGGGCAGGGTTGGGAACTGCAGCTCTTCTGCTGGGAACCCCCAACTGTCTGTGCAAAAACTCCCCTTGGGAGCCTGAGAGTTTCATCAATAATTAAGGAACATGTGAATATTGAGCTAATTTAGGATTTGCACTTTCTCACACATTTTAATGTCCCTGAATTTTGGGGGGGGGGGAGGGGAAGTGGTGAAAATAAACCTGCACTTTGCAAGCCAAGTAAAAAGCCAGATGTGGGATCCACCCAAAAAAAAGGGGGATATTTTTAAAGGGTGAGGATGCTCGTTCCATACTGGGTTCAGCCACTAATTCTCTGCCTGACCCAGGGGAGTTGCTGCCACTGTTCCCCCGCCGTGAAAATGGGGAGAACAAAGCTTTCTTCCCCCCTTTGTCTGCTCCGTCTATTTTAGCTTTTAGCCGTAATTTCCCTGTTCCCAAAGCCCTGGGAGAGCTCTGCTGCTTCCTGTGCCCCAGA